ACCTCCGCGAGTGGCGGATGGGCCCACAACCCCTCCCCCCAGCCAGGCGGGTGGCGCATGCGGGTCTCTGCTCCTCGGGGGGGGGACACACGCCCCTGCCGCCCTGGCCCCTGCCTGGGAAGAGGGGAGCCCCACAGGGAGCCCAGGGACCCTCCTCGGCCAGTGTTGTGACCTGGTTGCTCCGCGGTCCCTCTGCAGGTTTTTCCTCATGTGCTACATGTTTGTCAACCTGGCGTGTGCGGTGCAGACATTTGCGGACGCCCAACTGGCGGCCCCGCTTCCGCTACTACCACTGGTGAGCTGGGACGGGATGGGACCGGACGGGACGGGGTGTCCTGCCACCCCCCCCGGGCCACCCTGGGCTGGGGACCCCGGCACCGCTGCGGGGGCCAGGGCACGCTGACAGTGCAGTGCTCTCCGTAGGACCCTGTCCTTCCTGGGCATGAGCCTCTGCCTGGCACTGATGTTCATCTGCTCCTGGTACTATGCGCTGGTCGCCATGCTGATTGCCGCCCCCCCCGGGCCACCCTGGGCTGGGGACCCCGGCACCGCTGCGGGGGCCAGGGCACGCTGACAGTGCAGTGCTCTCCGTAGGACCCTGTCCTTCCTGGGCATGAGCCTCTGCCTGGCACTGATGTTCATCTGCTCCTGGTACTATGCGCTGGTCGCCATGCTGATTGCCGGCCTCATCTACAAATACATCGAGTACCGTGGGTAAGGGTGGCCGTGGTGCCGCAGACCCTGCCCAGCACTGACAGCCTCCCCTCAGCCCCTTGGTGTGGGCTGCTCAGCTCCCCCGGGGTGGCTCCTCCCCAGATGCTCTGGGGTGCCAGCGTGGTAGTCCATGGCCGGAGCCATGGGCGTCCCTTACGTGCTGCCGGTTCCCACAGGGCAGAGAAGGAGTGGGGTGATGGGATCCGGGGGCTGTCTCTGAGCGCAGCCCGCTACGCCCTGCTGCGGCTGGAGGAGGGTCCCCCCCACACCAAGAACTGGAGGTGAGGCCGGGCCGGGGGGGGGCTGGGGCAGGGGCCGGCCAGGGCACGGGTGCTGACTGCCGGACCGTCCTTCCAGGCCAC